AGAGACCTTCCTATGTTGTTGCTGGTGGTTTGATGCTCATGTTTAAGCTGTAGAAAACATCGCTTCTTAGTGCAGGACAGCTTTTAGTTTTGTTACAACTAGAGTGGACAGACTGCTGCTTAAATAGAAAAAAATAATTTTAAGTCTAAATTCTCAGTTCTGGAGTTTTAATTTTCCAACCAGAAAATGTGTGCAGGGTTCTTTTTGTTTTAATTTTGTGATAAGTTCAGTTTTCTTAGAGGAAAAAACTGGGCTTGCTTTATAAGCAGTTGTATAACAGGAACTGAACTGGGGGGGAGGTGATAAATGTGCAAGGCTACAGACTGCTTCAGTGTAAAGCAGAATTAGAGAATTAGAACAAACTTCAACTTCTTGCAGAAGTATTAGACCATGCAAGCATGGCTTTCTGCATTTGCATTCATCGTAAATGAGCTCTGTTGAGCGCATTCTGAAAACATGCGAATTCAGTGATTGTCAGTTGTATTTACACAATTTTTTTCAGCACTCCGATAACTGGATAACAAATGCAGTCCGGGCATTTACAACTTCTAGATTTAGAATCATTCTGATTTACATTTTACCTTAGCTTTTGAAATGTATCCTCTTTAATTTTGTCAGTGATGCTCAAATGCCAGGAACCCTGAGGTATAAATGGTAATAGTCTAGCAAAAAAGGGAACTTGTCAGGATTTACAGGTCTGCCCAAGTGCAAGAACCTTGTAATATGTTTACTGCTGGAAAAGTATGAACAAATTGTTCTTCATTGATAAAACTCCTAGAAAATAACTTGGAAGAATAAATACTGCTAGAGGATGCTGTGCTCAAGTGGGATTTTCAAAATTCTCAGTCTCAGCTAACCTCACTGGGTTGACTGTAATTTTAGCTGAGTTCTTTAAGTAATTCTGAAAATCTCATCTTCGGTGATGCTGGTTGAAATTACAAATGAAAATCACTTTCTCATTTGCCGGAGATGACAGAAGATTGTGTAGTCAGGAGTGATACGGAAAGGCTGAATGGCAATCAAATGCTCCTTGCCTCTTCCAAAAGAAACAAGGCGGCAGTAATGAAACTAGTGGATCTGAAACAAAAGGAGGTTTGGGATGTTTAGTTTTGTTTACATGCACACACACAATGTGACCTTTATACTGCAGAATGCCGTGCATGTTAAAAAGTTTACACGAGTTTAAAAGGAGATAGGGCAAGCTCACAGAAGAAAAAAATTTAGTGTCGTTGAACACACAAACACACCTGACCCAGAGAGTCCTGGGATACAACTGGTGGAGTGGGACAGCACTCGGAGGAGAGAAAGGCTTGTATGCCTTTCCTGCTGCTGTCTTCTTCCCCAGGCATCCAGCCTTGGCCACTGTTGGAGGCAGGATTGTAGATTAGCTGAATGTTTGGGGTCTGATCCAGTCTGGCCATCTGTATCTTCTACCTGATCTCACGAGCTCTTTTTCCATCTTTGCATTTCTATGACTAAGGTTACTTTCTTAAGAAATAAAAAGGTTGGAGGTTGAATCCAGTTAAGGATTTCTTCCCTGCATGAAGTATCCTCTGTGGTTTTTTAAAGCACTTTTAGATGAAAAATATAAAGTATTTGACCTGATAATTTTTTCACATGTCAAAGATACGTATATTGAGTGAAACGAATTTTGACTTGCATTCTGTTCCTGAGAAAGCCAGAAATTAAAATTTCAAGCTGAATATAAAAAGTATAAAATGGGAAATCTTTTGCTTTTAAAGTACTGGCATGTTGAGGTAAATCAGAGGTGTTGATAGAAAGTTTGTTTTGTTTTCCCTGTCTTTTGAAACTGCTGGTTAATTATCTAGTTATCAATGGCTGCCGACCTTGGTTTAGATCAAAAAAATGCTTGGAATCAACTAAATTTTCACTGCTTTTATTTTTATGGGAAGTCTGCAGTGTCAACGCTCTGTAGATGAAGAAACCAGACTACAAAGAACAAATTTGTAAATTTTGATCCTAAAATTGAACTCCTACACGCCCCTGCACAGGCATACGAGTCAAAATAATGTACTTTTAGGAAGTACTGGATGCAGCACATTCAGATGCTCAGGAGCTCTGACAGTATAAACCATTTTTATTTGAGATGCATAGGCATGACATAGTGTAATTCCTAATCTAGATTTAAATTTTGGTATAAGCTCTTACCAGAAAGACAGAAGAGTTGGTATCAAAGGCAGGAGCAGAAGGAAGGAGTTGTGACTATTCAGGAATATACCAGTGTAAACATTCCTCCATCCACAGCTCTCCAGGATAATCTTGTTGCAGAACCAGAAAAGGTAGAGAAAACCTCCTCCAGTCCTGAATAGCTGGTAGCTCGGCTTTATATTGGCTCATTATGGGAGGTACAGGTTCACTCCCACTCTTCTGAATCAGTCAGATCAGGAATTTCTCAAGTAATGGTCAGATTCTCTAAATTACAGATGCTGCTTTTTTGACTGTGGTCCCCTGTCCGTCCGTTCCCGTCCCCCCGCATTGTGGAAAGAGCGAAGTAGGTTTAAT